CCCCTACCCGTCCTCGTTTCGAGAGAGACAACGCTACGTACTGCGAGAACGCCTAAGACGGTACTAACGAGGGAAATGCTAAGGTACAGCGTGCTCAACTATATTTCTTCATTCTATTACTTTCCCAACTCTAATTATCACCGTCGTAAACGAGGCTCGTACTTTCAAATAAGGACCGTACCTGTCCTTGGGATATAATCGCTCGTGTGTAATCGTAAAAAAGGGGGAGCTTTTCGCTAACGTCGGTTTCTATCGTGCAAAATTCTCTTCTTGAAGGAACGACCGTATTACCGAGAGAGTCTCATTCTTTTTTCTCTTTTTCGGTACAAGGATTAGTACAGGGATTCAGCAGATTCGCGAGCGGAGCACGTTCGCGAACCCCGACTGATTCGCCGCAGCCGCCAGCTCGTCCCCGTTGCGCATTCATGCACTGACTTATTGACGACGACGACGATGTGCATCACGGCGCGATGCATTTCTGTGTGTTGGGCGCAATATGAGGATCCAGATGAATCTTATCATGCGATCTACACCGCATACACCGCATACTGTCGCATACACCGCGAGATGTACACCGCTAATCGAGACTAACTCGTTCACCCGTACACGCAAACCGATACGCTTATGCCGCGTCGACGGCTTATTAATAGTCGCTGTTTACCAGCGACAGTCGCGACTGTGCCGAGCGTGCATAATTGCACAGAAACTGCTGGGAGCCACGACGGGAGAGAAAAACAAACGCACGTATGCGCGTACATACGCACGCACGTACATACGTGCGCGACTCAAAGCGAAATCGATACGCAGAGCATGCGGGCTAGTAGGATGTGTTTGGTACTTGCGATTTGCGTGTTAACTGAGTTTCCAAGCCGACATCAATCCGCCCTATCAGATTGACTTGACGATATAGCGAACACATTCGTCGCTACTGATGGCCACGAGAGTTTTAATGACATTCTAATTATGTATATATCTGTGAAACTTTTTATGCTTATTGTGTACTTGTTAGTTCGCCGTTAGCAGACTCCGGTTTGCGGACACGTGTATCCGTGTAATCCGCGGATTTGTTTGCGCCAGTGCTGTAGTGACGCGAGATTCGATGATATCGATATTATTTATATACAAAAATAGGATGAATCTCGCGCGTTCGGGATTTGCGTCCGCATTTCGCGAGTTATTGTCGCCGGGATGAAACATGCAAATGGAAACGAAGGCGAAGGTAGGTAGAGTTCTTATCACTCGATTAAAAGCAGATCACGCCGGACGTTTCACCCGGATCACGATCTCATTTTTATTTATCTTCACAAGCGATCCGTTATTTGTCGTTCATAAATAAAAATAAGAGAAAGTCCGCACGCGCGCGAAGTCTTTCTTCGTCGTGAGGAGAAAAATGCAGAAATCACGGGACACGAGCGCCACGACCTGCATAAATTAAGATCACCGTCTCGTCACGTAGTACACAAAAACAATTCATTATGAAGACGTCGCTCTACGAGGGATGCGTATACTTGCTCGAGTTTGAACATCGATCTTCAAACGTAAATGGTTTACACGAACGACTCGTTACAGAAAATCCCAAGCAGAAAAACTTCCAAGGAAGACTAGTCACTGGCTAGTTTTTGTCAGTTAAGATTTATTGGACAGTAGCTGTTCAGAAACTGGATAGGAACATACGAGTCAATATTTGTTGGCCAGAAACTAGGCAATATAAGTGGCAAGCAAATGTTGGGCAGCTTCTCTGTCTAGTAAAAATTCGGAAAATACTGACCAATGTTTTTTGATCGGCCAAAAGTTAGGCAGGAAAAATAGTAATTAAAAATAAAGCTACAACCATCTCAATAATGAATAAATTTACACATGAAAAGACTACCTTTTGGAACAGGAGTTTTTATATTGAACAATAAAAAGTAATAAAAAGTTTTGAGAAATAAAACGTAATATTTTACAATGTATATTAAAACAATAAAAATTATTTAACAAAATTTTATACAAGAAAAAAGCTTGATTAGAGACTGATAAAAAATTGGTTAGAAATTGGTCAGGGACTGACTAGCTTTACCGTCCATTTACTATTAAAGAAAGTCACCTAAATTAGTCAGAAACTAGTTAATGATCAAAATTTCTGGCTAGAGGAAAAGGCCGCTCTTTCTACTTGGGTGCGTTTGAACTAGCAGCAGGAACCCGCCGATATTGAGAGAATTGCGCGGCGATTCGATTGCTCTACATTGATAACATTAATCAATTGCTGCGACAATTAGTGTGTGCTGACGTATAAATTTCCAATTCCAATATAGAATAATTTCAGTGGGGTGACATGTGTGTATTGGACGAATTTTTTTATGAAAAATTGTAGGATACAGCCAACGTTGATCGTATTTTTAAAAATTTGTTTTGATCCGCAAATCCTACGTGTGGATTAGACATTTACGCAAACTGCGCACGCAATTCGGCACAATAACTCTCGTAAAAATGACTTGGTCCGGTATTGCTCGCCATATTTAACTGGAATTCGCATGTTCGCGTTGTTGTCCCACGCGCATGACGTACAGTAAGCCATAAATCGTAATCACATTCTGCATGTACTGCCGCTAATCACTCACAATTCTGCGCGGTGAAGAATCCGCGCGAACGATCATGTGCCGTCGGTCTTTTCATCGGAGAAAAGTGACCAATGCAAAATCTATCATCTGAATACAAATAAGACGGAAGTGTAGCACACGGCGCGGTTATTGGGAAGAACAAGCGAGCGTATCCTCGCGAACATACATCGCTCGCGCGACCGATTTTGCGCGCGCAACTTCGAATTAAATCGAACACTCATCGACAACTCGACGCGCCGAGAGAATATTCGCCGGCAATTCGTCGCGGCAACGTCTCACGTCGCGTCGGCGACAGGAATTGCGTTAAGCGTGCCGTTTAATTATGCCTCCGGGCGAAACTCAGCACAGGATTCGCCTCGCTTATCACGGCGCGTCGATAAGCGAGTAATCAGACTCAGCCGGCGAGGCGCGGCTGATTCGACACGCGCGAGATGCAAACTAGCGTTGCTGTTGTGACGCCCGTACGACGAGATGTACACGGCCAACAGTGCGCGCCAGTGTAAGCGTATTTTGCGATAGGTTTAGGACACAATGGATGAATCGTATCGGGCGATAACGGAAATAGATGTAACGCCCGCGACACACCGTGTTGTTGCCAGCCGCGAGGCTCGGCGCATCTAACGAGAAACCGTGCGGATTCAACGGCAGATGCACGACCGCAGACTGTCATTGTGTTCAGCCGTCGTTGAATGACGGGCTGAGAGAGAGAGAGAGAGAGACTACGCTCGTGAAACTAAGTTTTATGACTCCGCGACCTAGCGGCGGTGTATTCGCGTATTTATCAGCGCGCCGCGTGCAAATTGTATAATGCCGCGCTCGCAAGCTCGATCGAGCTCGGGCGTAAACGGCGTCGCGGGAAATAACGCGTGAGACTGTTCGGAAATTCGTTCGACGGAAATCAAATCAAATTCTCGTGGGTGCTCCCACAGGACCCCGTGCAGAATTTAGTTCCCGCGCGAGGCCTGTTTCTTCTCGCTTGCGCTGAGAACCGCCTGCGTCTCCCTCGCGCCGCATAAACGCGGCATATTATTTCAAGCACATGCAGAGCCGTGTCCCACGAGTAAGATATTTTATAGATCGACCCTCTGCGTGTACCAGAATCAACCATTCGCATTTCTTTTTCTTTTTACTCTGTCTTTATTGTTTTCTTTTTCTTCTTCTTCTTTTTGTTCTGTCTTCGCCCCATCGAAATACACGACCGTGCGGTGTATATACGTGCGAGAGTGTGTCGTTTCTAAACTATTGCAAAACCGTTGCCGACTATTTAGGGTAGAAACGCCAACAACAATGTACGTTTGTTTCGTAAAAGCTGTTTGTCCAACAGCGACGTACAAACAAGACGTGTGTCTACTAGTGCGTTTACGTATAGGCCAAGAACAACAGACAATAGTCCGAGAGTGAAGAATAAGGCAGATCCAGCAACGATCTCGGACCTGTCTGACTGAGTACTCGTAGCAGAAAGCATTACTACTACGTTCGTAGATCGCGTGTGAGAGATATTCAACAATACGCAACAGCGCAGAACAGGCACAACAGATGACAGTTGAAGAAATAGGTAAATATAGAGCTCGTTGCGAACAAACGTCGACTACAAACAATAGAGAAAGAGAAAGAGAGAGAGAGAGAGAGAGAGAGAGAGAGAAAGAGAGAAAAAGAGAGAGAAAGAGAGAGAAAGAAAGAAACAGAGAAAAAGAGACAGAGAACATTGTGTAGTCACCAATGTTCGCGCAAGACCAGAAAACTGATAGAAGTTTTGACGAGGTAGAGAATTACTTACGCAGTCACAAGGTAGCGCCGATCGGTGGACAGTGGACAGTATCCATTAGGAAGAGAAAATGGAAGAGAAGATAGGAAGAGAAGTTAAATGAAGCAGCATAGAACAATGGATCTTTCATTAAAAGTGTCGCCTTAATTCGCATCGGTCGTTCATACTTACTCTAATTGCGCTCTGTGTGGTTCCGATTGTTACGATGAAACGAGGCATGAAACAGAAAAAGATCAGTAATTAATTAATTAAATGTACGCACAGGGACGTGTACGCTCGCGCTTACGCGCGCAAAGCACACACCGTGACGCCACAATGACGTACAACACGGGATTTCGAGACATCAGAGAGACAGCAACAGATAACACCGTGTCAACTCGACCCGGAGTCAACACACAACACACAACATCAAAACCGTGTATCGTAAAGAACGCCACTTGCAGCCTCAACATTAGAGCGGGGGGGTGAAGAGTCACAGAAAGAGGGGATGAAAATATGCGTGCATCAAGAACACGAACGATCGAGGGCGCGCGCGATACCGAGAGTCGCTTCGCGAAAGGTCGGCACACAGCTTGCAGAATTAGTTCAGTGAGAGACAGATAATGTGCGGCGGGCAGGAAGGTCCGCCGAGAGAGAATACCACGGCGCGACCGCCACGGCACACGTACAGTACGTAGTTAGCGAAGTGATAACATCTTCCGGAGCTTGCCAAGCCAGGCGGGACAAAGTTTAAATACTCGGGGCGTGAGACGCGCTAATTGCCAGCCTGGTCATTATGTCGGGAACTGAATTAATAAAACGAAAAATTCGCGATAATTCCGTTAACGACGATACGACTACGAAGTCTCCCCTTCTCATTCGCGTAATTGCGAGATGTAAAACTTCCTTTCGTTCGAGGGGAGAGAGAGAGAAAGAGAGAGAGAGAACGCTAACTCTTCGGATCGGTAGTCTATAAGTGGTACCATCGGTCGGCCATCGATAATAATCACTACCGAGGCATGTCGGGAGCCATTTTCATCAATAAGAGCCCTGCGACTGAGGAACGCGAAGTTTGTTCTAACTTCTGCGATCGGCGTATTTGTAAACTTGCGCAAATGGCGCGCACAGGTCGACCGAAGATCGTTCGACCTCGCCGATAACTTTGATTCGTTTAGCTGTTTGCTTGATAGCTCAAGCGAATGCCTCGCTGAATTAGCTCGCGGAAATAACTCGCTGGGTCTCCCAGTCTTGTTTCGCAGCGACTGATCTACATTACGTATTGTGCACGCCGTTACATAGAGTCCACACGGAAATGGATGACGATAATGATCAAAGGCATTAAATGTTACTTGCAAACATTCAAAAAAGGTCATCTTGCAGTCACATGGCGAGAATGATCTAGACACGAGAAATTTGATGAATAAATCACTAGCAGAAACTTCGCATGTATGTCTTGTATTTAATCGATATAGACGACAAAGGCAGAACTTTTCGATCTAAACTATTTGTGAAATTTAACAAGAAAGTCTCTCTCTGTGGCAGATTAAGACCAGTCGCACTTGATATGTCAAATTAGTAGACAAAAAGGACAAAAGACAAACGAGTATAGAATACCTCATATCTATCTAAATTTTCTAGCTGATATTGCTAGAATTCTGCTGCCATGAATTCTATGTATCACACTAGAATATTACGTACAAAAAGCAACGATAAATTTTAACATTTAGGACTCTATCTAGACTAGCAAAACGTTTTTTTGAGTAAGTGAATTGGAGACAATTATGGGAAAAAAAGAGAGGAGGAGGAAGAGAAGCTTATTCCTGGTTGCAATCCTAGTCGTGCCTGATAATACCTTGCTGTCTTCGTGTGCTGCTCGCACGCGTCAATTACCGTTAACACACACATACACACACTCGTTTCTTATCTTAGAAGTTACCCCTTCACGGCCACAACCGCGGAATGCCCTATCGATATTCAATAGCCACATTTGACTTCGCATTATTGCGGAATTACGCCACTCCGTGTGCGCACGGAATCCGGTAACTTCACAACGAAAATAGATACGCACGCCCGATAACACCGAGCAACACTACGGCACACAATGTGCGATCTCACGGACGATACCGTGAAAGTTTTGATATTAAATCAGCAAATGTTTTGCTCGCGAGACATAACGGACGCTGCCATATTAAACACAGGGAGCGTACGCACATACGCGGACAAATCGATAGCGCGCGGTTGATATGAATATATGTATATATGTATACATATAGTTCCGCTTGTTTGCTTTGCTTCTTTTACCTCTCTTGTGACATTTCGTTCATATTTTCTCTTTTTTTCCGTGCTCAGTTTATAGCCCTCTCCCCTCCGGATTATGCGTTTACAGCTATACTTACACCAATATCGACGACGCGATTTGGTATTTTCGATTTTCAAAGCTCCACGCCCGTGATTCGTGATCTTTGCACAGCAAACTCATCTCGCGTCGAATGTTTTGCGAATTTAATCAAAATCTAAATCTGGATTCACGAAAATTGCAATGTACAAGTGGCGGGAGAAATAATGTGAATAACTAGGAAATATAGTATATTACTTTATCAAGTCGACTTTATAAAGTTCTTAAGGAAATTAGTTCTTAAATTTTGATAAAAACAAAGATATCTTTAAGGATGGATATAGAATTCTATTGTCACTTCTTCTGCAGTATAATTTTGTATTACTTGGACGCAAACATTATTGGCGTTTGACGATATTTGTCATCCAATTTTCGTTTTCAATCTCTATTCTTCTTCGCTGATAAAGTGTTGTCATGCTTTGTGTATGCAGTTATAATCACGGAGACTATCGCTCTTGAAAGATTAAATGATTTAGCTGCTGTGGTTATAGACGCCCCCTGCTAAATAAGCACCGGCGATTTATTCTCTCTGGAAGTCTGACAAGTCTGACAAGTCACTCGTTTTACCGATTGCTCGTACTAATCGCAGCTGAACACAATGTATAATACACTGACATACAAATTAGAGAGCAATAAAAAAATAAAAAAAACAATAAAAATAAATACAATAGATACTCGCAATTTCTGCTTTGTCAGTGTAACAACACGCAAAAAACGAATCCATATAATAAGAGAGATCGAATTTAAATGACTCCAGGGGTATGCTGCCTATATATTTTTTTTAATATTTATGTTGAGAAGAATAGTGAATACAGAATCGCGAAATCGTTTTTTTAGAGCATAGATACTTTTCCTTGAGTTTTTTAAAAATTAAGATAATATTACAACTAACAACTAACTTACTCAAAAGTTACACTCCGATTTCTTTCTAATTTAGCACAAATGTAGAAGTACAAAAAACATTTAAATCATATTTTTTTCATTTTGGTTCACTTTGAGTTTCACGGGCAGTTTATAGCTTTTTAATGTTATTCCTCCTATTATCAATAAATGCAACAAAAATGCATAAAAAATAAAATTGAATACAAGATATAGATGTTTTTGATTTGCTGATTATGAATATGAAATAAAATGTGTAAAATTATTTATATAAATAATAAAATGTTTAAATAAAACATGGAAAAAATTGAAAATAAAATTATTTATACAAATAATTTCTCGGTTTAACCGAAATTCGACATTTTTTATTAATTTAGCATTTATTAATTTATTAATTTAGATTTCAAATATTTCGATTGGAATCTCGGCTAAAAAAATTTAGAATGGTTCGTGTTTCAGCTATGCAAATTTTGTTAAAATTTTAATTAAAATTGCCGGATTTCTCTTGGTTTGGATGAGATTCGAACTATTTTTGACTAATTTAATACAGATTTAAAATATTTCGGTTGGAATCTCGGCTAAAGAAATTTAAAATGGTTCGTGTCTCAGCTATAGCAATTTTGTTAAAATTATTTAACTATATCTATATTCAATTTTATTTCTTATGCACTTTTATTGTATTTGTTGATAATAGGAGTGAGAACATTAAAAAGCTATAAACTGCTCGTAAAACTCAAAGTGGGCCAAAATGATAAAATATGATTTAAATATTTTTTGTACTTCTACATTTACCAAATTAGAAAGAAATTGTACCTTTTAGGTAGATTTATTTGTAAGAAAAAAAAACTGACTTAGTAATAGCAAAGTTAGTTTCCGAACTTCTCGAAATTTTGTATTAATATTCTTCATCGTGAGGTTACAAGACAGAATATACGATTAACAAGATCGTGACAGGCATTAACTCACAGAAGGCTGCCTCACGTTTTCGCAGTCAGTCACAGTCAGTTTAGTTGTCTGAGAAGTTGTAACTCCAAAATTATTATATATGGGACATCTAGCCCCGGTCTTCCTTATTAGTGTTCACATTATTTCGCTTAACCCCTCGATATATGCGTGGTGCTCGGTATATCTGACGTAAATTTATATTCCTCGGTTGTGTGGCGGTGCAAATGGATATGCGCTCGTTACGTACACGCTCGGCCGTGTTGTACTTTTAACTTCGTTAATTAGGTAAACATCCAACCCGCGAATCGTTTCGACGAAATGCAAATTTCTTACTTTCTTCCTTCCCGTTGAATTCGATCGGAGCTTGTTGTTGAATATGAAAATTGTAAGTCAACTTTTCTCGCGCCGGGCGGAATACCGCATTATTAATTAGGAGAGAGCATTCGGATGTTACAGTTACTCCGTTTTCGAATCGCGATTTGTCCGAAGTAGAACTCTGCTTCTGCTCGCCGCGTCACCTGTTTGTTACTCGCAAACGTGTGCTGACGACAATGCGTGATTAATTTAACGGCGTTATTCGCGTATGCGCGTGTGCACCCAATCTGTTGCCGAATCGCCAATGTTACCTTAGCATTGCGATTTAGTTACGTTAATGCAACGCCGTCACGGGATCGTGTCATTCCCACAAACGTTCTCAAATTTTCATTCGCTTTGAAATGTAGAAAGTCGATAAATTTCACATCGTTTCAGTAATATTTAACATACGAACAATAACTGATTTAACAGGGAATGCTAAATCCACATCCACATTCTCTTTTAAAAAGTGATCTCGTAGTCACACATAGCGAACATTATCTAAATATGAGAAATTAGCTGAGTTGGATAAGTGACAAACAAATACTGAGATATATGTTTTGTATTTAATCCATATAGATGACAGAGAATTTTTTTATATGAACTGTTTGCGAAATTAAGTAGTAAAGTC